CTAGAATATATATCACAGATAGGAATTTCTTTTCCATAAACACTCACAAATTTAAATTTAATGCATAATGCCAAACTGTTCTCTAAAATGATTCTACCAATCTAGACGCTCAAGAATAACAATAGACACCCAAAAGAAGTTTACAATATTTACTAATTTGTAGAGTGTAATGAACACTACAATGTCAGGCTTATAAATTTTTGTCAATCCAGTGAGTTTAGTTTTAACTTGCTTTTTTTTGGTTGCCATAAGGTTAAACTTGGGGTTTTGTTTTAAGTGTCTATACAGGAGTTTTGTACTTTTTGAGTTGATTTCTTTCTCTCTTTATCAAATTTATTTATTATTTACATACCCATTCTTTTATCTTTACTTTCAATATTTATTCCAAAATCTTTTTACTTAATTTCTCTTCTTACTTGAATATTCCCTCCAAGATTTTCATCTAGGGAGACCTTAGGTAGAAAAAAGAAATTAAGGAATTTGCTGAGATTATTGCTTTATTCTCAGTCTTCTAAAACACTTCAAATAAGTGAATAATCCTTCATTTATGTTTAGTTGGAGAGGTCCGAGTTAAATTTTATTCATATGTATATATAAATATGTATCACATAGGAATGTATATATATATTAGATCTTTCTTACTCTGTTTTTGGTTATTATATATAATGCTGCTACAAATATGAATGTACAAGTCTTTATATAGATATATGTTTCATTTCTCTTTTAACAACCAGGTGCGGTGGCTGGGTGGTGCACATGGTTAAGTGCTCAACTACTAGCCAAAAAGGTTGGCAGTTCGAAACCACTCAGAGGCTCCTCAGAAGACAGGCCTGGCGATCTGCTTCGGAAACATCACAACCCTAAAAACCCTATGGAGAGTTCTACTCTGCACACATAGGGTCGCCATGCGTGGGAATCCACTTGAGGGCAACTAACAACAACGTTAAATATAAAATTTTACCAATATTTAAAAGCCAGATTTCATGCAAATATCCAAGAACTCCACGTATCTGGTGGTTTCTATGTGCAGGCGCTGTTCTAAGAACTTCGCACAAATGAACTCATTTAACTTAGAACCTGCGCAGGAAGGTCTTACTACTATGGCCATTTTACACATGAGGAAACTGAGGCACGCAGAGGTTAGGAATCACAACCGAGGTCAGCCAAGCAGTAAGTGTGGAGCTGGGATTGAGGTCCCCAGGCTTTGAGGGCTCCTGGCGGATCTCTGTCCTCACCCCTCCTACTGTCCCCTCTGGGAAGATCACTCTCATCCCCTGCATGTAGACGCAGGGTCCTTGCTCATCCCCTCAGGAAGCCCGATGTCTCTGCTTCCAGGCCACCGGCATCTCCTGGCTCGTCTCCACCTCGGCCGCCCGCACCCTGGGTCCCCGGGTCCCACCTGTGGCCTCCTCGCCCGGTTCCCCATCCCAGTCCTTCCTCTGTGTGTTAGGTCCAGCAGCCACCGGTTTCCTCAACACTGACAGCAAGTCATGTCACGCTCCGTTCAATCCCCACTAGCCACATACCCGTCCCCGATGTGCTGCTCCTCCTCCTCCCTCAGTGGGCCCTCTGATCTCTACGTCCTCCTTCAGTAGCCGCGCCCTTCCCTGCCATTCTGGCCCTTCCAGCAGCCCTCCCCACGCGGCCCCACCCATGTTCCTATCGCGCTCCCCCTCGCTCTGGGGACCCCTGACCTCTGTGCACTCCTTGCTCGCCATGCCCTTCCCTCCCCATCTCGCGGCCCTTCCAACAGCCCTCTTCCCGCAGGCCCCGTGCTCGTCTCCCACTGCCCCTCCGGCCTCCCCGGGCCCTTCTTCGGAGGGCACGTCCGGACCCACCTCCTCCAGCTGTGAACCACCCCGGTCCCTCTCTGTGCAGCCGTGGTCTGCTTCCAAGCCGCGGTCGCAGCGGCTCCTCCCGCACCAGGAGGGGTACCTGGGATCCGCGTTCACCACACTCACGGCCACGTGGTGGGAGGACCCGCCGGTGCCAGGCGAGAGCAGGGGGCTGGTCCCGGGCTCACCGAGAGGGGCGATTAGGTGGTCAGGGTGGTCCCGGAAGGGAAAGGAGATGTTCCTGTGGTTGCTCAGCCACTGCTCGGGCGATTTGCAATTTGCTTTGTATTTTACTTGGCGCGGTGGTTAAGAGCTCTGCTGTTAACCAAAAGGTTGGCAGTTCGAATCCACCAGACACTCCTTGGAAACTCTTTGGGGCAGTTCTACTCTGCACACACAGGTCGCCATGAAACAGGATGGAATTGATGGCAACTGGTTAGGGAGTCCCTGGGTAGTGTAAATGGTTCGTGTGTCCGGCTGCTAACCAAAAGATTAGTGATTGGAGTCCACTCAGAGGCACCTTGCAAGAAAGGCCCGGCAGTCAGCTTCCGATAAATCGGCCATTGAAAACTCTATAGAGTGCAGTTCTACTCTGACACACATGGGGTCGCCATGAGTCAGAGTCCACTCAAGGACAGCTAACAAGAAGTGGAGGCGGTGGGGAGGCAGACCTGCAAGGCTGGTAGGTAAGGGTCACGGAGAGTCTCAGTGCTGCAGCCTCTCTCCCAAAGCCCACTATAGGGACAGTGATAACAGGATGACAGCTGGTTATGGCGACACGGAGTGGAGGGGACACCCTGCAGTCGGATTTTGGAGGAAGACCGACAGGACCATGAGGCATCATACTGCATGTGGGGGTATCTGGGATGACACCAGTGCCCCTGTCGGCGGCGCCTGGGTAGTGGCGATGCGGTACCTGGGAATCATATTCACCGGAGGGAAGCGAGTTTGCAGGGGAGGTGATGCTCACTCCTGCGGGTGGAGCCGGAGGGCCCCCCTGGTGATGTTGGGATGCGGTAATTCATAGTCGGACTTTGCAGAGAAATCGGGGATCCCAGCCTGGGGACCTCGACATTCCCGGCGGTGAGAGCGAGCGGTACGCAGAGGGGTGCTCCTGCGGTGTCCGTGCGGAGAGAGGTCGGAGCGGCTGGTATCCGGCCCTGATATCCGGGCTGGCGGGTTTGCAGGGCGCTCGGGCGGGGGAGGGAGAGCGGGGGGGCACTCGGAGACGCCAGAGGGAGGGCCCTCGGGGCGGCAGGGTGGGAGGATGCGAGCCTGGTGGGCTGGGCTTGATCTGGATCCCTGTTCTTCTCTGAGGGCTCGCAGACCAGAGACTCTGAATGCCCACCCGGCCACGAGCTTCGCCTGTGCCGACGCGGGCGATGCGTGTACCCGGCATCCAGGGAAGCGCCCCGGTATGTCCAGGGGGAAGACGGTGGGGACAGCAGCTGAGCAGCCAGGGGGTTGCAGGCCTGGTCCTGGCGCCCTCCGCTCCAAACTTCCCCCACCAGCCCAGGTAGGCAGCCTGCGGGGAACCTTCCCCCGGAGCTACCCTCGCGCCCTCTGTCCCCACGCTGCCCCTGCTCAAATGCAGGACTGTCTGCTGGTTCCTAGCCTCCCGGTCCCTCAGTCTCCTCATCTTTGGAATGTAGATGCTAAAGGCTCCTTCTCTCTAGGGCCCCCGCAGCGTGAAGCCGTGAAGAGCGCTGGGCATTCAGGCGGCGAGCTGTGCCCTTGACGACCACCGATGGGGCCTGGTGTTCCTGAAATAAGAGACTTCTCTGGATCGCTGACCCGATGCCCCCTACCTGGACCAAGCCGCTGTGGGGAGCACAGGCTGAGTCTGCATGGACTCGGTAGTGTCCTTCGAGGGTGTGCGACCTTGAGCAAGGCCCTCTGCCACCCTTGACTTCTATTTCCTCAGATCAAAATGGAGATATGAACAATTCCTGAGTCTGAAGGCACTGGCTGGGGCCGTGTGATGTGTCCCCAGTGCCCCCTGTTGCCTCTCCTGAGGTGGGTAACGATGGCACCACTCCTCTGCCCATGTCCACGGTAAGTTATTCAGGGTGGCTAAGATGGATTTAACAGGGAGAGTTATTGGGATGCTTTCCACGATGGTCACTGAGGGGTCACTGTGGTGAGGAGGAATGTGGGGATTACTGCTGATACCTGGGCTCAAATCCCCATCCCCTACTCATCAGACTGGAAAGCGAAACCATCTGCCAAAAACTTGTTGACTGGGACGTGGAGGTATGGTGACATTTACCTTGTGCACACTGGAGGATTAATAAAAGTCACAAAACACATTTTCTTTTTAATCCTCACAACATCCTGGTGAAGCAGGAGCTGTTAATTTTGTGGATAAGGGAAATGAAGCTAAGAAAAATGAAGTGACGTCACAAGGTCACACAATGGGCTGGATTCATACCCTGGGAGGCTGGCTCCAGACCTGGGGATCTTTAACTGCTTTAATATGGTATTTGATGCCCTCAGCAGAGCACATTCTTAGGGCACTGAGATTATTTTGTCCGTAATGCTGGACATATGACACTTTGCATTTGTCAAAACCCACAGTCAGTACAACAGTGAACCCTGATGCAAACTATGTTGTTGTTGCTGGGTGCCGTCATGTTGATTCTGACTCATAGTGACCCCATGCGACAGAGTAGAATCGCCCCAGAGGGTTTTCTTGGCTGTAATCTTTACGGGAGCAGATTGCCAGGTCTTTCTCTAGCGGAGCCACCAGATGATGAACTGCCAATCTTTTGGTTAGCAGCCTGGTGCTTAAGCTTTGTGCCACGAGGCTCCCTGATACAAACTATAGACTTAATTTTCCTCTAACCCTAAAACTACACTAAAAAAGTTATTAAAAAATGCCCATTAACCATGAGAGAAATGAAATTAAAACAATTAAACCACAGTTAATTAAAACTACACATCTGTTAAAACAGCTAAAATTAAAAATGCTGGCCACGCTGGGTACTGGCAAGAAAAGAGGGACTGGAATCCTTTCTCATACATTGGTGGGAATGCAAACGTTATCATTTTAGATCACAATTTGGCAGTTTCTTCAAAAATCCTTCCCCTACCCTATGATGTGAGCACTGCCCTCTGACATGTGAGTACGAGAAATAATACAGATCCACATAAAAAAAGTATGCCTATGTTCATAACAGATTTATTTGTAACAGCCAAAACCAGAAACAACTCAAATATCCATTAACATACGAATGAATCAACAAACTGCGGCATATACACAGAACTACTACTCAGCAATAAAAAGAATCAAGTAGTCACATAAGCAACATTGCTCAATCTCAAAAGAACTACGCAGTATGAAGGAAACCGGGATGGGGGTGGGGGGAAGAGTCAGCATCTTAAGTTTTCAGTCATATAAACGTCTAGAAAATAGAACCTAATCTACTGTCAAAACAGAGAAAGCAGGCAGTTGCCTGGAGGGCTGGGGAGAGCAAGAGAAACTCTAAGAGGGCCTGAGAAAACTTGGTGGTGATGGATGTGTTCATTTTCATGCTTATGATGGTTTCACAGGTTCATACTTACGTCAAAAATATCAATTATAACTCAATCCTTTGAAAAAAGTTCAAAATAAAAATAGGGAAAAAAATTTTTTTTCCCCTCAGAAAACTAGGTTGGGCAACTTCCCTGACTGCAGCAGGGAAGGGCAGGCCTGCAGCAGAGGCAAGAAATGCATTGAGCAAAGAAGAATGTTTCCATCTGAGGCAACAGGCATGCTGGCCAGGTCAAACACCACAAGCTGGACAACAGCACCTCCATTCTCTCCAACCTCATTTTCCAGCCGCGTCAAGTCTTGAGGCCAACAGGCCAGCAATGCGGTAAGAATCCAGAAACCCTTTAGATTACTGGCTCTGATTACCAAAGCTCTGGGGGAAACATGGATTTGGAGATCCCAAGAAATTCTGTAACACCATGCTGCACAGCCGTCATCTCTGGAACTACGTCAATGCACATGTAAAAGAGGCACATTCGCTCTCGTTTACTAGTATCCCCCACTCCCTATTAATGACACTGAGAATCGTTGTAGCAATTATCATTTGCATTTTGGACACCAGGGCATATGGCTCCTTGATAGGACCTGGGGATTCATCACATAACGGGGATGTATTTATGTGACATCCCCTAGGAACAAGGAGGCACATTTCTGCTGTCCCCAGCCAGGACACAAACTAGGACCATGGGGTCCTGCAGTCTTTTCCTAGGAGGCTTGGGCAATACACACAAGGTCCAAACTTGAGGGAGAAATACTCTCTGCCATCACACTGTCCATGATGAGAATCACAAATTTGTGGGCACAGAGAAAAGCTGTTCGTCTATTCCTAACTGGCTCTAGTCTGTTTTCAACCTACACTACAGTGAACAGAGCCCCCATTATTAAAGGTGGCTGAAACAATAAGGCCTTTATCAGTACACAAACCAGAATAATGTATGGGAAGCATTTCTTGGTTGGTGACCTGGCTGGAAAAATAAATCAGGAGCATCCCAGGAGACCAACAATGGCATGAAGAAGGTAAACCTTTTAAGGCAGCTGCTGGCAGAACCCAGACCAGGTCCTCTTGTCCAAAACCAGATCAAGTCCATGCCCTAAAAGTTCAGATTCCTCGTTTCCTCCAGGGAAGGCGAGAGAAAGCATAGCCATCTGCCATTCCTGAGGACAGTGGGTTGAATGACGCACAGTGGGGTGACCTACTAAGTGGTGGCTTTGATGGCTTCGGCCATATAAACTGGCAGTGATATAATTCTGGCAAGGACCAGGGCAGGTTAGAATGTGCAGTGCAGCTCCTCAAAGTTTCACGCACCTGGAACTCGTGGGGAATTTCCCCACTGTTGGTTTCAGATGTAGGGAGTTCAACTTCATGCCATATAAAGTCTACTGCACTGACGCTAAATGAGACAGCACATTCCCTGCAGGTCTGAGGTCTTTCTCCCGTGTGCCCTTCCTGGGGCTGAAGGCTTTCCCACATTCGCTACATGCATAAGGCCTCTTTTTGGTGTGAAATTTTTGGTGATGACATTGGAGAACTGGCTAAAGGATTTGCCGCATTCACAGCATTCATAGTGCATTTTCCAAGGAGAAGTCTCCAGCAAACTCGTCGGTAAACTCTTCAGTGAAATCTCCAGCGAACTCGCCACTGAATTCTCCAGTGTGGACTCTACGGTGCCGAGTGAGGGTGGAGTTTCGGATGAAGGATTTCCCACAATCGCTGCACTCGTAAGGCCTCTCTCCTGTGTGAACCCTCTGGTGTTCGATGAGGCTGGAGACGCGTCTATAGGCTTTCCCACACTCACCACACTCATAAGGCCTCTCTTCTGTGTGAACCCTCTGGTGTTCACTGAGGATGGAGCTTCGGCTAAAGAATTTCCCACATTCGCCACACTCGTAAGGCCTCTCTCCTGTGTGAACCTTCTGGTGTTCGATGAAGTTGGACCTCCGGCTGAAGGATCTCCCACACTCAGCACAATCGTAAGGCCTTTCTCCTGTGTGAACGCTCTGGTGTTGCATGAGGTTGGAGATTTGGCTAAAGCACTTGCCGCACTGGTCACACTCATACGGCCTTTCTCCTGTGTGAACCCTCTTGTGTAGAGTGAGCTTGGAGCTTTGTTTAAAAGACTTTCCACATATGCCACAGGTGTAACGTGCGTAACCAATTTCTCCGGTGTGACTCCTCTGGTGTTCAACAAGGTTGGAGCTTCGCGTGTAGGATTTCCCGCATTCACTGCACTCATAAGGCTTTTCTCCTGTGTGGATTCTCCAGTGTCTGATGAGTTCAGCGGTACGCTTAAAGGACTTCCCACATTCGCTGCACTCGTAAGGCCTTTCCGCACTGTGAGTTATTTGGTGTTTGACAAGGATGGAGATTTGGCCAAAGAACTGCCCACATATACCACACTCATAAGGCCTTTCTTGAGGGCCAGTTCGCTGGCCCTTACCACGTCGACACTTGCAGCTTACGGTGGGGTGCCCACACCTGTTACATCGATAAAGCCCCTCTCCAGTGCAGAAGCTCTGGGGTTGGAGAAGTGTGTGCTCGTGGCTGAAAGTGCTCCCACATTCACCCCACTCATACTGCCTGTTTCCACTGTGAAAGGCCTCCCCACGCTCAATGCCACTGTGCGGCTTCTCACTGCTGGGCGCAGCCTGGTGCGGAAGTAGCCCCGAAGAGGCCGGAAAGTCCATCCCAACCTCCTCAGAGGTGCCTGTTCCTGACACATGGAATATGCAGCTCTTCACAAACGAGGCCCTGTCCATGGTCCTCGACAGAGTTTCTCTCCACTCTACTCTTTTTTTTTTTGCTGGGGAAGGTTTGCACTAAATCAGAAGTCTGTCATGCACACCCCACCCAAGTACGGTGTCTGTCCAGGGTATGCTGCCTGATGCTGAGCCAGGTGCAAACTGTTTTTCAAAATGGGACACACGCCTCCCTCACAATGGTGTTTTCAGGACTGACAGACCTGCCCGGGGAGTTCCGACTTTTGACAGTCCTTCCAACAGAAACACGCCACTCAGAAGGTGTCTCTTCAGTGCCCGTTCCATGCCCAACCTGAAAGCAAAGAAATGGTGATGAGATATTGTTGATTTTAGTGGGAAAAACAATTCCATCACAACTGTGTCTGACACACCGAGAAACGAGTTTATGGGACTCTTTGATATGATAAGGGAAATGGCATAGGTTGAGGAAGGGACTGCTTTGCAGTACTGGCTTCTGTGACAGAGAAAAACTGCTCCCATAGGGTTTTCTAGGCTGTAATCTTTACAGGAGTAGATCACCAAGTCTTTCTCCCACAGAGTCGTTGGGTGGGTTTGAACCACCAACCTTTGGTTAGCATCCAAGTGCTTAACTACTGTGCCACCAAGCCTCCTAACTAAGCCTCTAAAATCACAATATTTATACATTATGACGTGTAACATAGGGAGGAGAGGCAGGCTAGCTCACTTCTCTGCCAACAGCCTTCAAGCAGAGCCTTGTCTGCTGGTGACATGTGCATGGGATGCGGAAAATATGCCCAGGTGCAGGAAAACTTAATTGCAAATGAGTGGTGTTCAACAACTGATAAGGGTATGTGCACACCTCGTGACAAATTACATGTGGGCCAATGTTGGGGAAAGGTATTCTACTGGCACAATGCTTAAGCATTCAACTGCTAACCAAAAGGTTGATGGTTCGAACCCACCCAACAGCTGCACTGGAGACAGACATGGAAATCTGCTCCTGTAAGGATTACAGCCTAGAAAAACCCCATGGGGCACTTCTACTCTGTCACATGGGGTCACCATGACTCAGAATCGACTCGACGGCACACAACAACGTTGGGGAACAATGAAGAGAAACAGGTGAAGTATAGAGATCAGAAAAGTAGCTGTAACAAGGGGCCAGAAGTCACACTAGAAAATGAGAAGTCAGCGTAAGTGTCACGAATGCGGAAAAACAGAGTGAGATCAGCACGATGGTGGAGTAAGAAGCCACACTCCTCTCCTACACCAAAAAAACACGCAGAAACAGTCAGAACCAACTTAGCAAGAATTCTGGAAAACAGTCAATGTAATCAAGAAACAGGCAACATATGTTAATGGTGATGGAATATTTTTGAAAAGGATAGCAATGATGATGGCACAACACGAAGAATGTAAACGATGTCACTGAATTGTACACGTGGGAGCTGTTGTGCTGGTGAAAGTTCTGGTGTGTATTATTGTTACCACAATAAATAAAAAGAAAAAAAAGCAACTTCAATATGGCAGGAGCACTTTGTGGCTTCTTTACTTGCCCATGTTCCACTCACTTCCAGGCTTGGCAGCTAACCTGGTAGCCTGTGCTTCTGCCATGGGAACCTGGAACCTGGTTCCGGAGAAGGCAGAACAGACCTCATTCACAAATTATTGTGCTTGTGTGCTCTGTCAGATAACTACCTCAAGGACTGAAGCAAAGCACTTCTCTGTTTTGTCCACTAAAAAACTCATGCCAGGCAGTAAAGCGGCACACACTGTCCGAAACACGATAAGGCAAACAATAAAAGAGTACTCACCTGGGGCAAAACAATGCACTTGAGATACAGAAACAACTGCCTAAGTCCAAAGAGGACAAGGCAGTAAGAGAGCTTATTTAGTCAATTAGGGCATTAAAAAAGTGTCCATGGGTAACACCAAATGAGGGTGAACTGTGCACAGCTTGATAAACGTAAACGATGTCACTAACGTGTACACAAAAAGAACCTTTTGGTAATTGCTATGGCATATAAAATTTTGCAGCAACCACCACCAAAAAATACGTGTGGGTGTATACGTATGTATGTAAACATATATGCATACAGCTATGTATATATGGTGTACGCTATGTACATGCATCTATGTGACTGTACACGTATATTCACGTGTATTAAAGCACAAAGGGGGCACAGTCACAGATACTTCTCAGACATAACCAAACACCTTAAGAGACTGGATTCTGGGTTTGAAGGATTAGGACCATAGTCTCGCGGGACAAGTCAGTCAACTGGCAAAAAAAAAGTTCTACGTTCTACATCCTGGAGTTTCGTGAGTACTGTCTGGGGTCTTAAAAGCTTGTGAGCAGCCATCTAAAATACAAAAATTGGTGTCTACTTGTCTAGAACAAAAGAGAAAGAAGGAAACCAGAGACTCAAAGAAGAAACTAGTATACAGGACTGATACGCTACACGAACCATGGCCTCATCTACCCCGAGACCAGAAGAATTAGATGGTGCCTGGCTACCAAGAACAACCATTCTGATCCAGGCCACAATAGATGCATCCTGATAGAAAGGGAGAAAAATGTAGAAAAGAACTTCAATTCTTAAAAAATCCAGACTTACTGGACCAACTGAGATTGGAGGACTCCCTGAGATGAGTACTGTGCTCCTTTAAAAATTCATCTGTATGAGACCAAACAGTCAACAATTACTTTGAAACAAAGGATAAGAGAGTAAGAGGGCAGGGGAAACTAGATTAACGGAACTGCAACAACCAGAATGGAAATAATGAAAATGTTCACACACTGTGAAGAATGTAGCCAATGTCACTGAACAATTTGCATAGAAACTGTTGAATAGGTACCTAAACTGTTGTGTAAACCTTCCCCGAAAACACAATAAACTATTTAAAGGAAAAAAACGTCCGCAAGTATACAGCAGAATCTAGAAAGCTACATACATGCCCAGGGCAAGATGTATGCTCAGAAAAGACCAGAGTAAACCCTAAGCTTTCACCTCGGACTGTTCTCTGGGCCAAGTGCTAAAGAACTGCCCCAGCACAGGCTTAATCTGCAAAAACCGAAAGAAGTTTTTCTTCCCCCCATTACTTTTCTTTGGTTTGCTTGGGTTTTTTTTTGTTTTCAAACTTACGTTGTGCAAGGAAAGCTGTCAAAATACAGCTGAACACAAGCTAAAGGAACAGGGACTTCAGTGACCCACATGTCAGGAAACACAGTCTTTGCAAACACAGTCAGAAAAAGTCACTACATCAATGAGTACTACAGCCTTCAACAATCAAATAAAACAAATAACCCCAGCAAACCCTGACGGAATCTGATTTAGACTTAGCACGTTATAATATTCAAATGTCCCATTTTAAACAACAACAAAAAATTACAAGGGTACAAAGAAACAGGAAGGGATGGTCCATTCAAATGAACAAAATACATGACAGAAAACGCCACTCTGGAGTCCAGACATTGAACTTACTAGATAAACACTTTAAAGCTATCTTAAAGAGCTGAAGGAAAACAAAAGAAATCAGAAGATGATGTATAAATAAAATGAGAATGTAAACGAAGAGTAAGGAGTTATAAAAAGGAACCACACAAATTCTGGAGCTTGATTGTAAAATAAACGAAATGACAAACTCACTAGAAGGGTTTATAACAGCTGATTTGAGCAGCCAAAAGAATTGGTGAACCTGAAGATAATGGAAATTGTTAAGTCTGAGGAGCAAAGAGAAATAAAGAATGAAGAACCTAAGGGACTTGTGGGACACCAACAAGTGGATGAAAATACAGGGTCCCAAAACAACAAAGGGATAGAAGGTATATTTGAAGAAATAATGGCTGAAAACTTCCCAAATTTGATTAAAGACATCAATCTCCACATCCAAGAAGCTCAAAGAATTTCAAGTAGGATAAACTCAAAGCATTCCCACCAAGACATATTCTAATCAAATTGCCCGAAGTCAAAGACAAAGAGAGAATCCTGAAGAACACTCTATCAGAAATACTGAAGAGAGTCCTTTAGGGAGAAATGAAAGGACACCAGACAGTAACTTGAAGCCATATGAAGAAATAAAGATCTGTGATAAAGGTAAAATTGCATGGGTGTCTTATTTGCTTCCCAGTGCTGCTGTAACAAAAATACCATAAACAGGTGGCTTTAAAGAACAGAAATTTATTTTATTACAGTATACGGCCGCTGAGTTGGAATCGACTCAACAGCAACTTGTTTGGTTTTTGGTTTAGGAGGCTAACAGACTGAAGTAAGGGCACTGGCTATAGGGGAAGGCTCCCTCTGTCGGCTCAGGGGGAAGATCCTTGACTCAATTTCTGTGACCCCGGCAATCCTTGCTTCCCTGGCGATCCTCACTTGTGCTTCTGTCTTCCCCAGTTTGTGCTTGGTCGTCTTTGTGTCTACACTGCTCTTTATATCACTCACAACTGATTAAGTTTAGGACGTATCCCACACTGATACGGTATCATTAACATAACAAAGAAGCCCTACTTCCAAATAGAATTTAATCTACAGATATAGAAATCAGGACTTGAACACATATTTTGGGGGGAAACAATTCAATCCACAACAAGGGGCAAAAATAAAGCCAGTATTATTATGGCTATCAATTCAAACTAGATTGTTATCAATTTAGGATGTTAAATATAATCCTTATGGTAACCACAAAGAAAATATCTTTAATATATACACAAAAAAAAGGAATCATAATGGATCATTGTAGAAGTGCCGTGGAGGCAACGTCTGACCTCGTCTAACTTCACAAGGGGGTTGGGTAATCATTTTCAGCATCAAGAATCCAAGGCTGATTGCTATGAGGCAGAGGTCAGACATACCTCCTTTCTCCAACCTTTTTTACCAATTATTACACCAGCAGTCCCTCCCATGGCACTCTATTTCTCTGCTGGATTCAATAATCTGTTGCAATGGCCACAGAGAACTCACAGACAATACTCACAATTATCGGGTTTATTAGGGAAGTAACAAGTTACAATTCAGGACCAGAAATGACTCAGGATACAGTTCTCTGGTAAGGACAGCTTCTTGGCCATGCCTGCAGGCAGGCTTCTCCCCGGGCCCTCACCATTTCAGCCCCTTGGCCTGGCCTCAGCCCTGCTCCAGCAAGTGTGACAAAGCTCTTTAGCTCTGCCAATAACTGCCCAGAGGTTACCCCATTCCAGTAGGCCTTGGCCTGAAGGTGCTCAGATTTCTCACTCTGTGGGTCAGCAAGTCTAGTTCTGCTAACACGTGCCCAGAGGCACCCTACTCCGCCAGGAAGCCTCCTGCCCAAATGCTTTCAGCTCTCTCTGTG